CTCTCTATATATATATATATATCTGCTGCCTAACCTCAATTCCTCCAACTCTTGCTGCTTTCTTGGTGCTCTTTGTATCATTCTCTATGCCGCTGTGACTCCCACAATGTCCCTCCCTTTTAGAATCCACTCCTGGTTAGGTCAGGAGGGGTTCAGGATAATTAGGATGAATCCTCCATCGCTCATCGGAAAACGTACTTCTAACAATTGACAACTGGAATAGAAGCCAACAGATTTTCTTTCAATCATCATCCATTAGCAAGAATTTTGTCCAGATTTTCTTAACACTTGGATGCCAGCTGGTGCTTGTTTTTCAATGAAAGTTTGCCATACAAACAATTTAATTATCTGGTGAATCATTTTTTTTATATCTAACAATAAAGAAAAAGAAAAAGAAAATCAGAAATCTTCAGATTTTCTTCCACCCTAACCAGGTATCACATAACATTTTGTCTATCTATATGTACTAGGTAGATCTGCATTAATTCAATACAGACATACGCGATATGGCCAAAAGCTCTTTCAATAACCAAGTAAGTGAACCTTGCTTTTAGAATATCCTGATTACAGATACTGTATGCATTCCCCAAAGTCAAGAATGAGCACCCACGCTCATTTCAAACTGTTTGTGTATGACTGCAATACCTTGTAACACAAACATCAGTCTACGCTGTATGTTTTATCTACAGAGAGAAATTTAAACCTTGTCTTGTTATTGAATGATTTATTGGTTGCTTTATATTTGTTGTATGTACTGTTTAATCAGACATCTGCCCTCATTTTCTCTAACTTCTCCTGATCCCATTCTCCCTGTTGTCCACCGTCGATGTCTGTCCATCCGTTCATTCCTTCTTGAGAGAGTTTGAGTCAGAGCTGCGGTCTCCATGCGGTGTCCCACCCTACATTTTTAATTTTTCCTTATCTTCCAGCTGCCACTGATACTCCATGTAGGTCAATAAAGAGGGCACACATTCACACAAACACCCACTCTCTCACACACACACAACCAAAAATGAATGCAAATTAAGACACAGTGACAAATTGTACCAACAAAAAGTATTGTAAGACTTTGTGTCTTATGTACAAAAAAAACACACACACATGCCCACACACTCATACACCAGCTTTGAACAGCAGAACATTCAATAAACAGCATGAGCAATATTTGTTGGCGCTGTGTCAGATTAATGGGACATTAGTTTGTAGTTTGTCGTGTTTTACTGGACTATATTTTAAGGAAAGGGAGGGGGCAAAATATTAGACCAGAACTTTCAATGCAATATCAATCAATAAATATCAATAAAACAGCACCATAGGATTTAAAAAGGTACCACCGAGTTGAAGAGTCCCGTCCCTTCTGCTCCTCTCTCCTCTAACAGTCTAACAAGAACTCTGCTGCCACCCAACTAAATCCCAGAGAAAAGCCTGACAGAAGCCTTCCCTTGGTAAACTTAAACCCTGCTCACAGTCTCACACGCACACACACACACACACACACACACACACTCCCTGCAGAGATTAATCAGTCTCATCTAGATCGCATAGCTCTGATGCACTAGGTTGACAGAGGGGTCTGGGACCTGTCAAGGCCAGAAAAGCACTTTGCCCCTCTCTCGTTCAATTCATCGCTTTTCATCACTCTTTTTGCAACTCTTTTCTTTGTATTTCCCTCTCCTTGTCCCTCCCTGCCATGCTCCTCTGCTTTCTTTCTTCCTGTTTGATCTCTTTACGATTCATTAGAAGCTGGTGTGAAAAAAAAAGGCTGTTAATTGTTCTGATAAGGGTAAAACTGAAGGAGACACATGGATCAAAGGAAGACTCAGTTTTAGATTTTTGATCACAGACAGGCTGCTGTGTTCTTTTAATTGAACTAGCTGGAAGCAGTGTAGTTGGGGGTTGTGTGAGTAAATGTTGCCCAGCGTATAGTTTGATTTGTAGCAACAACAGAGCTCGGCAAGAGTACTGCATGTGTATAAAATGATGGCATAAACTGTATTTTACTGTAACATTTAAAGTTGGGCAGTCACTGTGAATGTGTATTAATTTTTTACAGTGTGATAACCAACACTTCCTGTTTTAATCAGCACTTCTGCACGGACAGAACCTGCAACTTTTATGCCCACGCGGTAAGGATAAAACAACCAGCCGCGACATGGCTGCTCACACTGAACGTAAACACGGAACACCCCTAGACGGCTCTGTTTAATGAAAGTTTATTCAGATAAGACAACCGCAGCCTCAACAATATTGACAAAAAGAGAGAGTGTATGTTTGTGCAATTCTACTTTGAACGGAAAGTAAAAAGAAAAAAAGGCTAATATAGACCCACAGATGGCTGGAAGATGCATAAAATATGGGCTGTCTGTTCTGTTCAGTTTTATTTTACGGCAGTCTCAAGATGACACTTTTAGCTCCAACATGTAAACTACTACTGCAATAACATTAAAACAAGCTCACTAAAGTTTGGAACAGATCTTTTGACAGCAGCCATGAGGGAAATCGGAATGTGGAACTGCTCAAGCTGCAAGACGGCCAACCAAAATTTCTGACGTGCCAGATATCCATCTACTTGTCCGAGAGCCGGATTGTTGATCATTTAGACAATGAATCTGGCAGTAATTGGGCCTAATTCTAAAATTAGGGGGTGAGCAATTCAGGACTAAAATCAGGCTTACTCCATACAATGTCTGCCTGGCTTTAATGGTGGATTTAAACACTGTTACTTGAGAGACTTGAGAAAAAAATTTAACAGATGGCAATGATATTTGGTCCAAGACACTCACTAATAGCCACTTAGTAAACATCTCTTTTTTTGTCTCAAACACAAACACACAAAGTCAGTATTGTGCGCATGCATAAAGCTACAAAAAATGGTCTGCTTTAGGTTACCTTAAATGGAAGGGACTTTTCACTGCAAGGGCTAATGGGTAGTGATTGGAGGCTGCTGGCAGGACTCGTCTCTGTGCTCTGCAAAAGACAAAAACATAAATATAAAAATAACATCAAGATGAGAATTGTGCTTGTAAGTGCTGCTGATAAGCTAGTGGTGTACACAGAATATTTTTTTCAGGATCAGTCTAACTACTCATTTGTTTATGGTAAAATTATGGCAGCTTGGCTTTTAATTCTTGTAATTTCATTTAGTTGCTAAGCAATATTGGCAAAAACATTACAAATAGAAGTCTGGCTGCGCATTCAATGAGAAAATAGAGGAAGGTATAGTATACTGGCTCTATTGAGAGAGGCGTTCAGTTAAACTGCAGCATCCTAAACCTTAGTGTAGTAGTAATTTTTCTTTACAGAATATCTGTAGGGGAATATTAAATCTAGTTTCTTAATCTAGGTTTGAAGCAACATTGGTTCACAAAAAAGTAGGATAATTGGTTTCAGAGAACTTGTCTGTATAAATACAACTCTATATTTTAACTTTTCTTTTTCAGCAGGTCTCTTACATAATCTCTCTGTTTTCTAAAGCCAGCTGTGATCTGACACATTTTGGCTCAGCTCTTCGACACAGGTGTCTAGTGAGCAGAGAGCAGGGGCAGCTAGAGGGGGCTCCAAAACACACACACACACACACACACATCACACACACACACACAACACACACACAGCTGCATAGTATTCATGTGACAAAGGGTTGCACATGCTTGTTTCACATGCAAGACGCACACAAACAGACACTCTTTAGAAAGAGCAGATGCTGGTCTTAATGTCACCTGCGAGGGCTTATGATAGGACAGATGGGAAAGCGGGAAAAGATAAAGTCATGTCTCTGCCAGGACTGCTGATACTAATGTAATAATGCATGGGAAAGACATGACACGACACACAAGGAGGATGTGACAAGAGACATGACAAAGACACGACGGAAAAGTGAAGTATGCGCTAACTACATGTTCCACACACTCGGTTTTCTGATAAGGTCTATTTCTTGCCATCTGCTGCCCTCTTGCAGATTTATATGCAAGCCAACCCTTCTGTTGTGTGAGAGAAATGACCGTGCTTACAACCAAGACAGCCTAAAAAGCTGCTTTTTAGGCAAAAATCCTGATTGTTTGCGTTTATTTTTGGCCTATATTCAGGTTTTGAAGGTAGCTCTGAGAAACATCAGAGCCCAAATCTTTGCACAGCATAAACTTGACAGTTTATTGGTTTGGCTGACCTTTTAAAGAAGCATACCTCCCTATCAGAATTATAGGTGTGCTATGGCATCAGGCCCTCAATGTGTCATCGGTGATCAATGCCTTTCCCTATGTAGAGAGACAGGCTCACCCTCACTGACACCCAAACACTCTCTCTCACTCTCTCTTCTCTCTCTTTTCTCTCTGACACATACACATTCTCTTTAAGGTCACCCCTGTCCCACAGGCCTTAACACACAACTGTCCCCACAATTAGATGTGGTTCAGTAAAAAGCCTTTTAGATTTAAGAATGGAGGAAGCTGCCTAGGAGCTCTGGATTTAATGACTTGCACTACCCAGAAGCTAAATGTCTAAAGATGATGAATGGCCTGAGAAAGGAAAGCAGGTTTTGTAGTTTGATAAAGCCCCTTTAATCACATTCACACATCAGCTAAATCAAGAAATGAAATAACTCAAGGTGCATTCATGCCAACTCCCTCTCTCATTGACATTTGGCTTTTTAAAGATAAACAGCACATTAACAACACACTGTCATGCAATTTTGTGAGTTATTTGGCAAACATGTCCAATTTGAAACATCAGCTCTGCTCAGGTATTGCTGAGTTTTTTCTTTGTTTCTTTTTTAACCCTGGGCTTTGAGGGTTCTTGTGTTAAACGTGTTCCAGAAATGTAATGAACAACAGCACTTTCAAATACATTTTATCACATCCACAGCTACCTTTGTAACAACACTAAGCTGCTGAAAAGATTTGGTGGGTGCAGAAAGAATAAGCTGCTGCCACAAGTCAAGCAGTTGCCTCGGGGTAAGAGTCACTGGGACGGACAGAGGTGCAGCGGAGGCACAAGCTAACTGGGTGTGTGGATGTTGCACAACCTTGCCCACGAAGACTGTGAGTATATGCTATAACAAATGGGACCGTCACAGTTTTGCTAGAATCCATGGCTGACATTGACAAATAGGGATCATTGTGTTATGCAACATTAATGCACACATAGACAGTGGTATTTTGGAAATGTTCCTCCATGCAACCAAGAGGATAAACTACTGAGAGAGAAATAAATCAAGGATGGATGGAGTCTCTACAGCTGGCTTAAACATGCTTATTTGACAAATATGATGCACAATAAACAGGAAATTATAAGGCGTGATTTATTATCTGGCCTGTTGGTCATACACGTCATGTGTAATGACAAATATTCTTCTATGTTTTGTGTTGGACACTCGTGTTTATGTCATTTACTGGGTCTTTGTTAAGACTTTACTGTGGACGACAGAGAGAGACATGATAGTACATGAGGGAGAGAAAGATGCATCAAAGGCCACGCTTGAACTGGGGACATTGCGGTTCATAGTTCGTGGTCCGTGTCTTGACCCCTAAGCTCCCCTTGTCAGAACTCTTTCACAGCAACTGAGAAACTGTCATGTTATTTTTATTATTTTATTCACAGATTGCAGGCCTTCTTGCTGACAACTGTTAGGTTAGCTCGGCTACATTAGATGTATTTTGGGCCCTTTTTTTACCTTTATTAGTCAGCAAAGATCTAGACAGCAAATAGGAGAGGGGTTTGGGATATGATATGCATGCTGGCTGGAATTGAAGCAGTGACGGTTGTTACCATGCACTGTAACCATTAGGCTATAGAAGTGCCACATTATTCCACCGCAGCCAGACTCGCGGAGGATGACTGAAATGGAAGTATGCTACAAAGCTGACCAGTGACTGACATTAGAGTGAAGAGAGGAGAAGAGAGGAGATGTTAGGAGCTATAAGTTAAGGTAAACAAAAGAAAAGAACAGAAGATTGGGGCTCAATACCAGAAGGTCAAGCAAATAATATGCAAAGAATCCAGACATGCCGAGTCACCCTCCCCTCGCTGCAGAATGGATTACATCTGCTGATGGAAGGTAACAAAATTTGCAAGTTAATGACACAACAGAGCAAGCAAAGAGGGCAAAGTATCTCCTCTTTCATATTCATGTTCTGCTGCTGTCTACTCTCTCTCTCCTGCACTCCCTTTAGTCTCTTCATCATCACTATAGTTTATGTCTCTCTCCACTAATTATCATTTTATCATTTTCATGTCTCATGTCTCTCTCACATTGGTCCTGGGAGGAAAAGAGAAAAACAGACAAATGAACAGTAAACAGAGAGGGAGAAAGCCATACATATGCCTCTGTGGGCTGTAATTCACAGCTAGCTTTGATCTTAGTTTAGAGGTACTAATGGTGGGGTGTTAGAGAAGGTCTGGTCACCCTTTTATATGTCTTTTTGTGTATTTGTATTTGTGAGTGTGGGTCTGTATAATATTGCTGTATTTGGTCAGTCACCCATGTAGATTACAAGAAAACAGCAACCAGACATTGCTAATGGATGTTCTTTCGGCTCAACTTCCAGAGCTTACGGTATTACGAACATCCCTCTTTGGTATGTAAATGTGTCATACACTTACAAAACATAGCGACAAAGGGTGTTGGTGAAAATATGAGCACTTTCATTCCAAAACATACACAACACAATATATTAAGCACTACCAAACACCAACCTTCCAAATAACTAGTTCTATTGAAGCAGTGCTTACACAACTTTGAAAAACTTGAACAATTGTTTAGGGCTCAGCCATTTTCCAAAAGAGTCTAATTATCATTCTGGCCTAGTGTAGACTGTACTCTAACTAAAATTGTAATTTACATTCAGCAGTTGATTGTATAATCTTTTATTATGACTGAGAATTTGCCCCTAGTCAGGCTCTCTGTAAATTGCAATTACCCCAAATAAAGCACGTGAATCGCATTTACAACAATTTCATGTTCTTCAAAAAAATAAAAATCATTAAATAAAGTTTAAAAGCTAGAAAATTAACATGTTTTATGACATACAGTCATTTATAGTACCAAAGTTAAAGAGATTACATGACTGCACAAGGTGGCCATCAATATGGTTCCCTGGTTTTTACAGTTTACGCAGCTATTGCAACGTGTCAGTGCTTTACTAAGTGACTATTACAGCTAATCATGTCTGTAATGGTGTGGATGTAATTGTACCGGTTTCCTGACTTTCACACTGAGATGGCCTCATAGCCTGAGGTAAAACTTTAGCTTTAAGTAGGCTGAAGCATTTAAACAGCAGAGTGATACTCCGAAACAGGAAGATTAATGGGGGGAGTATGAGTGTGTGTATGTGTACGTATAAAGAATATGATGGCAAACACTCAAAGAAGCTCCCACTTTCCGTCTCCAAATAAAGAATCTGATTAAATTAACAAAACAAAGTGATTACAGAGACCTTTTAAAGGCGGAAAAGCATGCACTTTGAGATGATTTCATGGAGCTGAAATAGAGCTGATTACAACAGGGAGTAAAGAAATTTTTAGTGGAGCAGTGTACCGTTTTGATTCTAAATGCCTACTGCTTCATATTATTTGCTAACCTTTTACCCTTAGTGGTTTAAAACAATTCGATTAATTCATAACTAGATCAGAGAAGGGTCTGTCGGTGTAGTATGAGAAATAACAATGAATTTCAGCTTCTAGTTGCGTTATGTGGCGGTCAAATGGACATCAGAGTTGTCCTAATATATAGTATAAATCCATGTTAAAAAAGAGTCAGTGTGTGTGTGTG